AATATTTAAAGGTGTTCGGTTTGACCATCAACCCTACAACCATGCGAAGTTTCATGAAAATCCCAGAAGAGTAAACCTGATGGTTACCTTGTAAGTCTCACTATTATATCTTGTATCTTGAAACCTCGTGGATTTAAGGATCTAGAAAAATGGAAGGCGACAGAGTTTAGATTTTTCATGCTATATGCAGTCCTAAAAACTTGCCCAGAACGCTATATAAAAATTTTCTTAACTTTCATGCTGCTATGAAAATTGTATTGCGATCCTTGCAACTACAGAAAATTAACTAAAGTTGTGTTTTTTTTTTGATAAATTAGTCGCGGGCCTGCCAGTGTTTATTTGGCACAGTTTTTACATTTACCTCAAGAACGATTGTTAACAGTTGCAAAAAGTAGACTGAAAACGTTATCGAACTAATATCAAACACAACATTATTACTTTATATTTATAGTTATTTATTAATATTCATCACTAATTCAATTATTAATAAGATAAATGTGAAAAATGTGCCAAATAAACACTGGCAGACCCGCGATTAATTTATTAAAAAAAACACTACTTTCACTAGGTCGACCCAATATCAAACACAACATTATTACTTTATATTCATAGTTATTTATTAATATTCATCACTTATTCAGTTATTAATAAGATAAATGTAAAAACTGTGCCAAATAAACACTGGCAAGCCCGCGACTAATTTATCAAAAAAAAAAAACACAACTTTCAGTATGTCGATCGTTTGGGTATTCTTCGAGAGAACCTCTAATTACTTTTTTTCAACTTTTCAATACAATAATTAATGAATATTCACTTTTTTCAACTTTTTAATACAATAATTGATAAATTTTTGCAATGATTTGCACTATTTCAACATATCTTCGAACATATTTTGACACTGCAGATTATGTCGGTTGGTATCCATGTACTATGACATATGTAAAAATACTTGATTGTAGACTAAGGATTTTTATGTCAAACAAAGATAATGCGAAATAAATAAAATTTAATTGAATAAATTATTATATTGTAATCATTTTCATAAAAAAATTAGGTTTTAAATGTTGGCCACGCCTTCGCCGATAGGCCACGCCCACGAAACTGTCAAATACCTGGGCCTGCCAGTTGTGAGTCTGTCAATTATATACACGTAATTCTTGATACATAAGCAAACTAGTGCACTCGAATATATGTTTGCATATTACAATTGAATGTTTCAGCGACGTACAATTTATCATTCTTTAAAACACTGAGATAATATTGTTTTCGAAATTAATGTGGATGTTTCGAAGAGCCATTTCTATTTTGTTATCATGCCAGCCTTCGTATAAGGCGCTCCGACGGAACTGATGTTACCGGTATACATATTTTTTTTCGGTTTCTCTAGTGAAACGCATTCTTTTCAACATTTAAAATATTGCTTTGTCCAGCGGTCTGCAGCATTTGCGTCCTAAAAGCATGCTCTTTAATTTATTGATATTGATAACTTTCTATAAACATAGTTCAAAAATGACTCTCACATAGTATTGCACGAATTATTAATTTGGTGTTGAAAGCGATTGTATGCTTTTGAGTATTTTGAACTTTTGGATTAAATGCCCTTTTCCAGCTTCTTGATACATGCCATGAACAAAGTAAATGGTTGTTTGTCGAAGTCATGACAGATGACCATGCATTATAATACGCAGGTGCATCATCAGACATACAAGTTAAGGTGGCAATTTTTTTTTTTACTTTACTACTATTGAACTTCAAATTTTCTCAAAAAATAATTTAAATACAGTTTTGTCTTGCCGATTGGTAAAACAAAATGCTACGGGATAACCTACCCCAAACTCACCAATCACAAGAAGAGTATGCAGGTTAAATCAATAAGAATTTGCTTCATGAGATCTATCTATGCATGTTTTATCATGTCTATATTCATTTAAAATAGTAGCCTGCACTATAGTCATTATGACCATAAAAAGATCATCTTCTTCTAGTACATCATGTTCTACGTTTTATTATTATTATCTATATGGGTAGGGTATGGTAGCACTGCTTTGCACTTTATATTTCGAACATCTTTCTTGGTAAGTATTGAGCCCTCAATGGTAAAATTTCTTCATATGCTGCATTTTGAATACTGATGATAATTTTATTATCCGAAACTCCTGCTATAACTTAATAATGGTGGCGTATTTTCGAAATTTATTCTATAAATTGGGAACAATTTCCCTCATATCTTTCCATGATTCTATGGTGTTGCTTCCTATAGGCGTGACTGGTTTTTTAGATATAAATCTATTTCATCTCGTCTTTTATTTCCTTTTTTTCTCTGACGCTATTTTTTATGTAACTGCCAAAAGTCGAAACTATCTGGCGTGGCATCAATATCTAAACTTGTAGTAGAACTGCTCAAACAAATTTGATTTCTCAATGCATTTATTGAATTTGAAGTAGCATAGGTGTTTTCTTTGCGATGTAGTGAAAAGAATCTATTGAAAAATTGATAAGAATAAATAATAATTAAGACACAATCACTATGAATCACTTACTTTCTATTCGTGTCAATCTTTCCATCAAAGCCTCTACATGCAAAGCCTCTGTCTGAGTGCCTTGATCAACAGTGTGTTGTTCTATAGTTATGGCCTGCTTCTTCCTTGCCATCTGCCGGTAATCTAAGATTGAATTAAATTTTGTGTCGGCTGCAAGAACATTAGTCAAATATATTCATTTTAATATGATACAAAGAATTTTATGAAAGTAACTATTTACAATAATCTTCCTTTTCCTGAATCTCATCTTCAAACACCCTTTTGGTCCTCTTAAGGTGACCCCTTCCTCGCGGCTCATCACTTTGAGAAGCTTCACTATGCCGTTGCTGCTCTTCTGGCTTTTTCATATGAAGCTAAGAATTCAAAGCAAATGAATATCACATTGGTATAATAAAAATGCTTCCTTTAAATTACTCAGTTTATTTTAAATGTTAATTGGTTCACGGTTCAGGAAGAAGAGAGTTATTTTACATAGCTTTAACATAAACATAAATATAACATGGCGGATACATAGTTTGAGTAGGGGAAGAGTATTGCCAACGTCACTAATAGTAATGGTGGGACATTTGAATTACAAATATATATAACATTACATTTGACATTACATAAGAAAAAATGTGACAAACAATTTTGTCAATGCTCCGGGGCGATGCCTGCATCCAGATTATAATAATTAACATAACAAAATATTTGAGTGGACCGTATAATATATAGATAGATAATATAACAATTACTGAAAACTGAAATGAAAACATTTTTTACCAGTTATGTTAATCTAAAATGAAAATGACAATATTAATCATATAGCAAACTATGCCTAATAAAACAAACCATAGTGCAACTGCAAAACTTAATACTAAATATATATACAAAGGAGATAATAGAAAATTATTAAGTAACAAAAAAAATGCAATTAATTACAAGGTAAAGGTACAATCTTTGTTATTGGACGTGTAATCCAGTAGGAGTTTTTACAATAACGACTCGTACCTTTTCATCACGTCCTGGTTTAGTTTCCAAAATTCGACCAGTAGGCCAATTCAAAGGCGGACTATTATCTTCCTTAATTAGTACTATGGAGTCAATTAAAATATTGGATCGAGCCTGAGACCATTTTGCCTCTTCTGCAAATTACTTAAATATTGTTTGGACCAAGATGTACAAAATTGGTTCCGGCTCCGCTGTGATTGCTTCACCTATTAAAAAATGACCTGGACTTATATATATGAAACATCTCAGTTATCATCCGTGAATGATAACAATGGTCTGGAGTTCTGAATTGCCTCGATCTGTGCCAATACAGTGAGGTATTCTTCGTACGTGAAGTAATGCGATCCTAACACCCTACGAATATGGTGTTTCATTTGTTTAATATCTCCCATAACCCTCCGGAGTGAGGTGCATAAGACGGAGTAAATTTCCATGTTATTCCTAACTGAGATGCAGCTGTTACCAAACCTTGTCTAGTCATATCCAATTTAAAATACCTATATAACTCCTTCAACTCGTTGTTGGCTCCTACGAAATTCTTCCCATTTGTCACTATGTATGATAGAACAACAACCCCTACGAAAAATGAACCGTCTCAACGCAGCTAAAAAGGCATCAGTTGAGAGGCTAGAAACTAATTCTATATGGATTGCCTTGGTCACCTTACATACAAATAACGAAATATAGGCCTTAACTCGAGGAGCCTTCCTTAAACGACTTGATCTCAACAATACTGGATCAGCAAAATCTACCTCAACTACCTTAAATGGGCGATGTTGAGTGATCCAATGCTGACAATCTGTTGGGAGACTACCCATCAGTTGACTAGCAGCAGCCTTAAAACGAGCACACTTACAACAATTATGAATAATTTGCTTTAAGGCGTTACGACCATTAATTGGCCAATAATTCGCCTGTTAGTGTAAGCTGCCCTTCTAATTCTTCTAATTTTGACGCGGTTTAACTCGACCAGTACTCGGTCACATTACCGGAGTTTTAGATTTTGATAATACTCCTCCAGGGTGTTTTGCGTATAATCTGGAAAACGCAAATTCTCTTCGGCATTACTAATCAGCATTGCCCGATTTCCTTTCTGTTGGTAATCTATTCTATCTATGCAAACGAACTTTAGTAATTTCAATTGCAACCAAGCATGCATTCGATTAAATTCTGAAACATCATCATCTAAATTATGATCTACCGGCATTATATCATCCGGGTTCATCAGGACTGGATAGTAAGGAACGTTTCTCCATCTACAGCCTGGAATTGGGTTTGACGCATAAAAGTTGCGTCTGATGTTTCGGATTGTTGCTCCATTGGTCAGACTAACAACCACCTCTCTTAAATTGTGGTATCTCACTTTTCCCGGCATTGGGATAATCTGATTCAACCTTACATTTCCCAGAACGGTTTGAGTCCCTGCATGCAACAGTCGCTCATGCTCTGACTTTAAAAATATACGAACAATTACGTGTTTTTTGTGTAAAATAATGGGGTGTTTCTGGTCAAAAGAGATGTTTGCATGTTCCAATCTCTCAATCCACCTACACGCAACACGCCATCAGCATCCCTAAATGGGTTTAACGATTTCAACTTCAGATTTGAGACCTTATCTGTCTCTAAATCTTCATCACTAGTTATAGAGAATGTTTCTAACTGGACCAAATAAAATATCCTACGTGTTGCAAACTGAATCTCAAATGCTGACAACGGATCACAAAGAGTTCTGCGCTTTTTCCTCCTTCTGAGACAATATGCGACAATCCTAACAAGCTTGCTAAACTTGGATATCCTATCTGCCAAAGACTTTAGAGTAATACCGATATCATCATCATCCTCAGTATTCGAAACAGCACAAAGTACCCGTCTTTCCGGCAAATTATCTATTGGTGGATCACAAAACCTATTTGGCCAATTTTCTCTGGTGCTACAAAGCCAAGATGGCCCGTGCAACCACAGATCACAGCTCAACAAATCATTAGCAATTCTAACACCTCTTGACACAATGTCTGCAGAGTTATCCTTGCTAGATACATGCTTCCACATAACTGCTGGAGTTAATTCTAAAATTTGCGACACTCTATTGGAAACAAACATTTTCAACTGTGAGGGTTCTGTACGCAGCCACGCAATAACAATACTAGAATCACTCCACAGAAATGATTCGTTAATCTTCACAACACCATTAGCCATAACATGCCTATATAATTTTGCCAATAACAACGCTGCTAACAATTCTAACCGAAGAAGTGTCACTTGTTTTAACGGAGCAACCTTAGATTTAGAACATATTAGATGGCAGGAAATACTACCATCTTCATTAGTCGCCCGTAAATAAATACAAGTTCCATAAACTAGTAATGAAGCGTCCGCAAAATCGTGACACTCTATGCATACAGGAATCTGCTTGAAAAGACAACGCGGAACACACAAATCTTCCAAACACGAAAGATGATGTCTGAAATCGTTCCAGCTATCCTGTAATTCATCTGGCAGGGCGTCTTCCCAATCTAAATTGCATTTCCATAATTCCTGCATTATCAATTTTGCTGTTATGGTAATCGGAGAAATGAGTCGTCCAATAGGATCATATATTTTAGCTATGGTAGAAAGCACAGATCTTTTAGTGTCTGCAGAAGTGATAAAAATATTGGAATAAGAGATTTTGAAAATATCATCAACTTGATTCCTTGATAAACCTAATGTTTTTACAGTATTATTTTGTTCAGAAAAGTCTGTGGCTGACAAATTTTGTTGTTCCTTAGGAACATTACCTAACAACGAAAGACTATTACTTGACTACTTGTGTAACTGAAAACAACTTAGCTTCAGCAGACTACAGACCTCCGATTTCAGCTGCCCTAGTTCCTGCTCTGACGATGCATCTGTAATTATGTCATCGACATAACAGTCCCTATCTAAAGTCTGCGAAGCTAGTGGATACTTGACAGAATTTTCTTCTGACAACATCTTTAGACAACGCATGGCCAAGTACGGTGCACATGAAGTGCCATATATAACTGTGTTCAACTTACAAATGTCAAGCCTTTTCTGAGGAGAATCTCTCCAAATAATTAATTGTGAATTAGCATCTGCATCCCTAACCTTAATTTGCCTATACATCTTAACAATGTCAGCGACAAAAACATACAAGTGACACCTGAAGCGAATCAAAATCGAAAACAAATCTTGTTGTAGTTTTGGACCTGTATGCATGACATTATTAAGCGACAAACCTGTGTAAGTTTTGCAAGAAGCATCAAAAACGACACGAATTTTATTAAAATTGCCATCCTTGAAAACCGAGTGATTATGTAAAAAATACTACATCAAAATCTTCTCCTGTAAGAGATGTAAGTTCGGCATGACCTAACTTTACATACTCAATAATAAAATTGGAGTAAGCTAAATTTAAGTCCTTATTTTTTACCAGCCTACGTTCCAAATTCAAAAAATGAGTTCTTGCCTGTGTGTAAGAATTTCTCAACTGATACTTCTTACCATCAATAAATGGTAAAGCAACTTCAAATTGGCCATTTCCTAAACGATGTACATTTGAAACAGTGTTCCTCACAAGCCTTATCTGAACCGTTAAGAGATTTGCTCAAAGAGATCTCCTTTATCTGCCAAAACTTAGCTAACTCCTCATGGAGATCTTCGTTAGAGATAAACCTGAATAAACACCAGACAACAACCAACCGAAGCGACTGTTCCTCAAAATTGTTAAGTTCTTCCCTAAGCGGATACAACACTGTTGCAGGATGTCAAAATATAGCTCGGCGCCCATCAAGTCTATTGGACCTGGAGTATTAAAATCTGGATCAGCTAATTGGACATGATCCGGGATTCTCCAGTGAGAATAATCAATAGATGAAGAAGGAAGATGCTGAGTAATATTATCAATAATAACACAATACAATTTGTGTTCAAAAGAAGTTAGTTTAGATTTAATTTTAATCTTCACAGACTTATTACAAGTCATACTCTGCCTTTGTAAAACATTTAAATTATGAAGTGAAGAATTAATTGGAAGCTGGAGACGCGAAGCCAGCGATTTAGTAATTAAATTTATTTGTGAGCCATTATCTAAAAGTGCACGCACGGAATGTCTTTTGCCATTTGCATCAAAAATAATTAAGGAAACAGCAGAAAGCAGAGTTTGAGGATTCGAATGCGTCATAAGAATATTACTATTGTTGATAGGGGAAACCTTTTCCTCGTGCAACAAAGAATTATGTGATTTCTGGCATATAGAGCAAGGATACTTATATTTGCACTTCGAAATGCCATGTCGCGAAGCTATACAGCGAATACAAAATGAATGCTTGGAGACTAGTTCCTTTCGCTTCTTGACATCCAAAGCTTTGAAATCAGCACATTGGAAAATGGCATGCTCTCCCTTGCAACAGATGCAAGGTTGAGAAGCCTTCTTCACAATTATGTTGACTGTCTTAGCTGAGGGCTCTTTACAAACAGAACTAGAATTCTCTAAAGCTACTACCCCTCATTTCAATAAAATTAAAAAAACTATTCAAACTTGGTAGTTCTGCTGACGTTTGAGATAAATTCCATGCAACTCTAGTGTTGTTATCCAACTTTTTCGACAACATGAACAAAAGAACGACATCCCAATACTTGACTGGTTCAAATAATGCAGTCAAAGCCCGAACTTGCTGTCTTGCATTAATGCTCTCAAATTTTTAAAAGAACCTTTACTAATAGGGGAAATTTTATCGATTGAGTTTAAGTGAGCATTAATGATTAAAAAACATATTATCATATTTTCATTAGTTAATTTTAAAGAAGAAATAATGTTTGAAGCTGAACCTGTGAGAGTACCTTTTAAATAATGCAACTTCTGCACGTCAGACAATTTAGCATTTGTGTGAATCAATGAGTTGTACAGGTCAATAAACGCTGTCCATTCACTAAATTCACCACTAAATGTAGGCAACACTATGTCAGGCAACTTAACATCTACTGAACTATTAGAGACCCTAATCGAATTCTTAGGAATATCCCTACCATCAATCAAAGTCTGAATCTCAGCCATCAAAGTTAATATAATTCTGAATATTCTAAAAATACCTTAGTGTACTTTCCTGGCTTCAACCTATTTAGCTCAATGTAATTTGTTTCCCACTCATGTGATCGCTCAACCAACTTTTGCTTCTGTGCAATCAACAGATTTATGTTATCATCCTCACGGAATCCTGCCACAAACTTTCTAATGGAATCAAAAGACGTCTTGATAATTTCGTGAACATCTTTCAGAGTATCGATGTCAGCCATTTTAAAGTTGTTCAAACAAATCTACAAATAAAAAATAATAATAATAACATAAGATAAATATTAATCTGATATACAGTGTAAAAGAGAAAAGAAAAGTATACATATAATAATACTATAAAAAATATATAAACAGCTACTGGAAAATTTAAAGGATCTATCTGTACATAACACAGATGAACTAAAATATAATATAAAACAATATTATGGCATTTAATATAAAAATAAATCTTCTAATCAGCTTTGAGAATAAATACTTCACAGAGAACCACGCTAGGTGATCTCAAATATATAACCAAAATCCCACGTGATCTGCGAGTTAGAAAGTTCCTCCTTTGACCTTGGCGTACTTCTGGAAAACACCGTAGTAATCGAAGCTGGATATAATGCAGCATCGTACAAATTGTCCTCCTCGTACAAATCGTCTGCCTCGAACAAACCTACCGCTTGTAGATTTTGTCCTCCTTGCAACTTAGCTTCGCCGTGTTGTAACGCCGGCTAACCTCAAATACCTCGAGCAGCTTTTACTTCGCCCAACGAATTGTAATAAATAACGAAAGTCTCGAAATACTGGTAGCAACAGCTCTGCACTTATAATTACCGAAAAATTGTAAGGCCACGTTGATTTAATAAATAATGCGAACACAAGAACGTGTGTTTTGTTTATAGGTTAATGACAAAGCACACATAATCTAGCAAGGATAAGCGCTGGTATAAATATATGTTATTCGGCGAGATGGACCAAAATATGGTCAAATAAAAATGCTTCCTTAAAATTACTCAGTTTATTTTAATGTTACTTGTTTCGCAATTCAGCAAGAAGAGAGTTATTTTACAGTTTCGACATGAACATAAATATAAGATGGCCGGTACATTGTTTGAGTAGGGGAGGGCTATTGCCAACATTACTAATAGTAATGGCGGGACATTTGAATTACAAATATATATCATTTATAATTATATATCATTTATAATTATAATCATATATATATATATATATATATATATATATATTATTTATAATTACCTCTGAACAATTTCTTGAACTGCTATGTTTTTTTTTAAGCCAAGCCATGAACATTGCATGGCGAGCTCATTTTTCATCAATCTCCTACACACATTTGCTATGTGTGCCTGTGCAGTTATGCCCCCAACTTTCATTACTAAGAGTTGCTAAAACAATGATGAAAAAAATAAGTGTGCATATATAAATATAAATATTACATACTAGGGAATGCAATACCGATGAAAAATTTCATTACCGGTATTTCGGTAATTTTTTATTTTAAAACCGGAATACCGGTAAATTACCGGTATTTTTAATATCTTAAACAAACGTAAACAAAATTGAAAGTTACTAGTACAACTATAAAAAAATGTACGAGTATATACAACTACAACTATATTCAACTAAACAATAAAAACAATAAAATAAAACAGTAAGTTTTTTCTTTGAATAATAATTTAACAAAATTATATCCAATTTAATTAATTCATTTATTCATTACCACTATCGAGTATATTGAGTACTTTTCACCAAAAACAAACTTATGAGTAAGAAAGACCGAAAATTCATAAGAGATCATATTACATTATTATAATAAACTGTATTGTCTGTATCCGATGTGTTGAATTACCACAATCTCCAATATTTTAAAAAAATAATTTTCTATACACTAATTTAATATCGGATATTTTGTCAAGATAAATAATAAGTTACTATAATTGTTGAGTATTGTTATTTAAAACAATGTGATGCTTCTGTAGTATTTTTAAATTTCGAAGCGTTTTCGAAAAATAATATTTTATAATTGAAATAAGAAGCAAAAATATTTAGTAATTATCATAATTATTATGTATAAAGTTAGAAAAAAATAAAGATTACGCAGAGGTAATCTGTATGATATAAAATATTTTGGCGCAAATATCACTTAAAAAACCGTTATATTTTTACATAAGATTAATCAAACATCATTATCTATCAGTCCAATTCTATTTATTATAACACGATATGAAGCCCTTAGTAAAGCAATAAATATTCATTCATTTCCTTATCCTATAGAATCACTTGAAGATATAGTTGTTTATGCGATTATGGAATTTAAAGATAAATTTGTTCCGAAAAATTCAAACTTTAGTATATTATGTATCAAATAGCGCTTATGTAAAATTACCGAAAATATCGGTATTTTTGGGGTAAATACCGGTAAAAATACCGCTGAAAAATCGGGCGGTTTACCGGTAATTCGGTATACCGGTAAACCGGTATTGCATTCCCTATTACATACTAAACATATATACAGATATATATGTATCTACTATATTTATACTAGAGGAGACTTACAAATTCTGTACAAAACTCGGCATCATCTTTTAGACGCGATTCTAAATCATTTAACTCGTTCTCAGTGGTAGCATTAAGTCTATATTCTTGTGCAGTGACACATCAATTGCTTGATTTTGACGTGTCGTCAAAACCTGGTCATCTTGGATGTAGCGCATAATTACCGCTATTTGGGCATTCATGGCATCAACACTCTCAATTATTTTAGCATTAAATAATTATTAAATATATATATATATATATATATATATATATATATATATATATATATATATATATATATATATATAAACATTTAACTAACGTTGCAATCTGGCTTGCTTTATTGCAAAATCTGCCATCATGGTCCGTAAATCATTATGCGTGGAGCTGGTACAAGTATTTGGGATTGGAGATCGCCTGGGTGATAAATTGTACTCCACCTCCGCAGCGTAGTTATATTGGGGTTCGGGAGCGTAGGTCTGTTGGGTCTCGGGAGCGTAGGTCTGTT